CATCCAATGTCCATAGCCAGGAAACCATGACTATCTGTTGATCACAACGAGCTAGTCAACTAGAGGCTCACTAGGGACATATTGTGGTCTATGTATTCACACGTGTATTACGATTTCCGGATAATACAGTTATAGCATGAATAAAAGACTATTATCATGAACAAAGAAATATAATAATAACACTTTTATTATTGCCTCTAGGGCATATTTCCAACAGTATTGACGGTTATACAGTTATTCCTCACATAGATCCCAAATATATGTTGAGGGGCCAATGATGTATGTCGGGGTGGTGATATCGGTATTCAACCGAATTACCGCAGATGGGAAATACTTGGTAGATTTCCACGTATCAAAGATAGAGGGGAATGACATTATGCAGTTTGGTCATGAGCGTGTAAAACTGCATGACCCCAACGTAAAGTTGGTAAGTTGCAATTATGAGGTTAAGATCATGGAATGAGCTTAATTCTTTGGATAAAGGATTCTACTAAACCAGTTTGAGTCTAGACATATAGGACAAAGTGTTAAACATCAATCCTAGGGCCATAGTGAAGTCACGCAAGGAGAATTCCACAACGTTGTCCATTCAATTTTGATTGTAATTGATGTTCAGGATAATGAGCCAATGGTTTTATGTGGATAAAGCACACTTGAGACCATCATATAGATGTGTCTTTTAGAACCATCGAATACCTGAATAGTCTAGTCAATGGTTAGGAAGAGCCACTTACCTTGACTTGATGTGTCCAAGGAGACCGAGTGGTTCAGTGTAGACTTTAAGGTGCACGAGCCTTAAAATTAGCTTCCCTGATTCACATGTAGTGCACATAAAATCTAAAAATGTTTAGAATTTAGCATCATAATAATCATAAACAAATGGAATTGCTGATAGATTCTATTTCAACCCAATGTCTTGATGACCAAGGCGAGCATGCCAAGTTTGTCATGTAAAAGACATTCTAGAAAACTATCATGTACGCAACATGTGCTACGGGTTTTGTAGTATGTGTAGTGCAATCATGATGATACATATATAATGTGTTTGCCATATCCATTGCATATGGTAAAGAGAAGATATTCCTCTTTGTTGTCATCATAAGTTTCGCTATGAAAACTATTCTGACGGATATCTCTATAGTTTAGTAGGATATGAGTTGACCCAGACACGACAATGCATCCTTGATCCTACTCGAGTACCCATAGGGATAGTAAATATGGCTCGAGTTGAGCCAACAAATACCTCATCGCGTCTAGCGATTTTAAAATATCTCCTTTCTCTCAATGAGAGTGGAAACATTTCACTTCCCTGAGTATAGAGTTTGTGGTACATGTGTCCACATGGCACAAATCATCTTTCATCAGATTGACCCCCGTTGAAATCTATATAGACATGAACATTCTCAAGAAAATCACTGTCAAATATGTAGAATACATACAAATGAATTTGTACCAAAATGCTGATACAATATATTGTGATATACAATATATGATGACAACAATAATTATGTTCATACTAGAACATCAGAAATGGACATAAATAAAAAGATCACTAAGGAGATTGAGGGACTAAATGTAGTCTCCAAACATGTCGGTCAATGCATATTCAACCGTCATGTTCTCCGTGCTCATAGGGTCCCGTGACAGCTGGATAGTCATTTTATTGCTCGGTTCTAGAAGAACATCATGCAAACAACTGACTTCCATGATGGTGTCAGATTGAAGGTTTGAAGTGAGTTTCAAACCTTTACCCATGAGGTCCTTTGCGTCCCGTTTGGCGTGGTTTGGATTGCACCCGCTATGCCATGGGATGCAAGACTGATCTTGATGTCCATGACCCACTTAAGTAAGTTGTGGCCATTGAGGGCAAGAGCCTCAAATTACTTAGCCATCAATTACTTATAGGAGCAAACCAGAGATAATTAATTTACCATCGGAAAATTCAAAAACCATCATGGTTAATATTGTAATGATTTCAAGAAGGTGGCTTGCACCATAGTGTGTATCTCAAATTGCTAAGTATGGCATCTTGAAGATACTCTCCAAAAAGGGAGTAGATCTCGCAGCACTAGGGAGTATAATCTGATGAAACCAGTAGATACTCTCTCTTAATGCCTTATGTCATGACTTAGTAAAATGTATGGGAGAGTACTTTGTAAAGTAATCATAATGTCAAATTACAAAATGTAGGCTTTAACAAGTAGTGGTGATAATCAAACCAATAGATCTACACACTACCTTGTGATCCCAATACATCAATTTGAAGAAAACACCTTGAATTTTGCATCCATATTTGCAAGAAATTGAAGATCTCAATTGTAAATAGACGTATTAATCTCGACATGTGGTTAACATGGAAATAGATACATCATAGAAATATTCCGGAATACCTCATACTCAATGGAGAAACAATATTGCAGAGGCATTGAATTTATCTTTGCAAGAGATTAAAAAACTCTATTGCAAATGGACGTAATTAATCTCAACACGTGATAAACGTGGAAATGTATTACATCAACAGATTTGGAATACATCTTGGTACTCAACAGAAAAATACTACTAATGTAGTGTATAATAATGATGTTGCAAACTTGATGTTCAAGTGAAAAACTTGAATTGTATAGACCTCAAATTAAAATGAGATGATCTTGTATCAAGTTGCAAGATAATTTAGCAAAGTGAACTAATAATTTATGAGAGAAAATTGATCTCAATTGTAATAAGATTGTTTTGCGAGAGAATAATAATTCTCAATCGCAAATCAATATTATTGTGCGAGAAAATTTAATCTCAATCGCTAAACAACATCACTGTACCAATAAGACGGGTTATAGGGATTGCTAAAAAGCAAATACATTAAACATGTCCCACTTCCATAGAATATATATGGAATAATCATTTACATATTGTAAATGTGAGATGGAGAGATCAACCTCCAATGTAAATTTGTGGTACAGCGGGTGGCCTGACCATCATTGTGCTCTCCGTGCCCAAAGGAATCAATCGATTTGGGGTTAGCTTTACACATAGAAGCCACCGCCGCTACAGGGAGATTGAAGCCTTCAGCAACAAGCACCGCGCCAAGCCGTGGAGGGCCGCGTCCTCCGGCCATGGGCCCTGCGGCGAGGCGCAGGCGAGGCCGAGGCTCGCCGGAGCCCACGTACCGGAGCGGCGGTCGATGGCAGTGACGGCGCGGCCGAAGCGCCGTTCCGCGTGGCCGCACGAGCTCGCGGACATCTCCGGCTGCGGCGTGGTTTTTGCGTCGGCGGCCTCCATCCCTGCTCCAAGTCTAATCACGCCGGAGGCGCTGGTTGGTGCGGAGACGTAGGCGAGCGCGTCTTCCACATCCAC